GCATACTTGCAACACATCTTACCCACTTAGGTAGAAGTGGATAAGTTGTCTTTCCCTGAGGTTAATACTTTTCAAATATTTATAGACTTATTATTACAAGATCCTATCAATTTGCTATTTCATCAAACTGAATTTCTTTTCATAGCCCTATATAATTCAGAAGAAATATGGCTATAGCATAATATGGATAATGTTACTTAATTTTTTATTTTAACAACCTTACCAAGAGTCATAAATTTGTGAAAGAACATTTCTGTTCTAATAGGTGAGGATTAAATAGCAAAGCTCTCATTATCAATTGTCAGATGGTTGAATTTATACAGTGAGCAGAATATTTCTTATGTATAATGAATGAGGATATTTTTAAAGTTAAAACATTTAACATAATAGTGTCAAAGCAATCATCTTTGAATACATGACTACTCTTACTGACAACTGTGGGCCGGGGAAATTGGTCAGTGAGGGCATATCCATTATGTCTAAAACGTTCCTGAAAACTTAGTACTCCTAGCTGGAACCACCAGTCTCATTTCCTAAAAAGAGACTGTCCTGGTGCTGATTACTGCACTCAGATCATCATCCTATCTTTTTGGTCTCCCAGGCTGAGAAGCTCAGTTGTGCTAAATTCTTCCCTTTCTTTCATTTCCTGAGTTATAAAATGACATTGGTTCTGCCTCTGGAACATTTTTGCCATGATCTCCATCTCACGGTATTCCTGCTATTGCCACAGTATAGCACAGTCAAGGTCAGAAGACCTGGATATGAGCCTGGCTCTTCCACAGAATAGCTTGGCAAATCCACTTAACTAAGCCTCAATGTCCTCATCCATAAAATGGGAATAAATCCCTACAGTTTGTGTGTGTGTATGTGATGTAAAATGCAATGTACAAAATTATGATATACATTTGTATATATATTAATTTTTGTCTGTGGTCCCTGGCTTATAATTCCCAAAGGACTTGTTATTTTTCCCTCATCCTTCTGTCTGGGACCTTTGCTATAAAGAGATTCTCTGATTTACTTATTGGATTGTAGGTCATAAGGTCCCCATTTCAGTCCTGCCCTATGCCCTGGAGGAAGGCATAGTGCACAGAGAGGCCAAGAAGAATCTGGACAGATAGTCCTTGCTGGGTTTACTCATCCAGCTAGCATTAGATCATATCTTTTTTGTCCACTTACATTTCTACAAGGCTGTCAATCGTGCCTATCCATGAAGTCTCCACAAAAGGCCCAAAAGGACTAGGTTCAGAGAGCTCCTGGATAGCTGAACATCTAGAAGATTCTGGAGGGTTGCACCCCCCGGGAAGGCATGGAAACTCCCTGTCCCTTCCCATAGCTCGCTCTGCTGTACCTCATCTGCATCCTTTATACTAGTCTTTATAATAAAGTGGTAAGTAATTATTTCTCTGAGTTCTGTGAGTTACTCTAGCAAAGTAATGAAACTCAAAGAGGAGGTCATGGGATTCTTGATTTGTACCCAATTAATCAGAAGCTCAAGTAAAATAACCTGCGTCCGGCAATTGGCATCTAAAAGGAGAAGCAATCATAAAGATTCAACCTGATGGATCTGACCATATCTCCAGGTAGAAGAGGATCAGAGTTGAATTGGAGTGGAGGACACTTAGCGAGTGTCCCCTGCAGAACTGACTGCTTGCTTGCTGGTGGGGGGAAACCCCCATGCATCTGGTCACAGATGTCGTCTATGTTGGCCATTGTGGTTTAAGAGCACAGGAAAAACAGGCTGTGTTTCTCTAATCAATTAATTGTTGATAGCAATTACTATTTTTTTTTATTTTTATTTTTTTGAGACAGAGCCTTAGGCTGTCCCCCTGGGTAGAGTGCCAGGGCCTCACAGCTCATAGCAACCTCCAACGCCTGGGTGCAAGCGAGTCTCCTGCCTCTGCCTCCCAAGTAGCTGGGACCACAGGCGCCCGCCACAACACCTGGCTATTTTTTGGTTGCAGCCATCATTGTTGTTTGGCAGGCCAGGGCTGGATTCGAACCCACCACCTTAGGTGTATGCGGCTGGTGCCTTAGCCACTTGAACCACAGGTGCTGAGCCATAATTACTATTATTATTTTCATTATTAGTAACTACCTTCCGTCTCTTCAAGGTGTTTCCTCCAATTCATTCTTTAATATACTAGCAAAGTAATCCTGCAAAGCACTAATTCAATGAAGTTATTTGAAAGCCTTTTATGATTTCCCATCTAGCCCCATGTCCTTCTGCATATTCTATGATGATTCACTCTAGGCTACTAAGCCTTTCGCAAATGACTCCCTCATCCCAGAATGTCCTTCTATCTCCTATTTCTTGTCATAGGCATTAACTTCATTCTGTAGAATCCACTACGAATTACCAGCCTTCATTGGAAAGTAAGAGTTGGAGGATTCATTTGACAACAAGTTTGTAACGAATCAAGACTGTTATGCGGATATAAAAACTGCCATATTAACAAAGGTAGCGTCAAGAACAAGGGCAGGAATAGTTACATTCTATCACTATTATTATTATTAGCTAGCTTTATGTGTAACAGTAGGCCAGTTGAGGAGGATAGGATTCTCAAAGCCCCAACCCTTCTCCAGGTGCCCTGGAACCTGTGTGCCTGAGCTAATCCCAGGATGGTCCCAGTTCTGAGGCCTCCCATGCCTAGGGAAGGGAGGGAAAGAAAGTTAGATGGCTGGAGGCCATCTCAAGAATTCAGGGAAGTCAAACGCAGGGGTTTCTTCTCGAGAAGTCTCAAGAATTCAGGGAAGCAAACGCAGGGGTTTGTTAAATCTGGTCTTGGAAACATCCACCCCCGGGTGCTGCTTCATTGAATCTCTTCAGAATCTCCTATTTTCTTCCATTTCTCCAAGGTAGGCAGCCATGGACTTCTGTCTCTGGTCACACATCACCTTTCCCATGGTGCTGTTGGCCTCACTGTCCAGGTTCTTAGGGTTAGTTATTGTTGGTATTTATCTCAGGGTACTGGGTCCACCACCCCATCTTACTGATCTCCAGATGCACAGTTACCTCCATGTGCTGATCTCAGGGTACTGGCTCCACCACCCCATCTTATTGATCTCCAGATGCATAGTCACCTTGGTGCACCACTAGCTCTATTACCTGGGCCTGCCGATGCTGGCCAGCTGTTGCTTGAGCCCCACCTGGATGTACCATGACTGGACGTTCACCACCACAACCTTCCCCTTCAGCCACAGGTTCGCGCAGAAGGGCGAGCCAGGTGTAGCCTTGACAGGGCGGGCAGGTCTGCCCCATAGCCAAGGTTGAGTCTCAGTTCTCCTTTGTCCTTCTGCTTCCTCACCCTCTCCAGTCTCCCGCTTCCCTGATGAACCCAGGCTGCCACTCTTGAGCCGGGCCTAAATGATAAGGTTCTTTGCACCCTTTTCCTGGTCAGTCTGTTTCTTCATCTGGGACTCAGAGTCTCGGGCTCGGCTTCCTCGGGAGCCTGACCGCCCAGCTGCCTTCTCGCTCTGCTCAGCTCCCTGCGGGCTCTCTTCTCCTGCTGGGCTTTCTGTGCCAGCTGATGGTGATAAGCCTTTGTGCCATCCTCTCTCCTCCAGTGAAAAGCCTGCTTTGCGTAGAAGGAAGCTGAAGAAGCCACCCTCCCGCTGCCCAGCCTAGTGGCGGGACAGCGCCGCCTCCTCCTGCTCCCCTGACCCTGCTGCAGCTCCACGCCCCCCTCCTGCGCCCTCCCGCCTCTCATCAGGCCACGCTAGGAGCGTTGTTTTGGATGTGGAAAACACATCTAACTTTTCTTGTAAATCGTGGCACGCGAGACTGAGGCTCTGGAAATGTCTAGCCTAGAGACGAGAGGGGGCTAAGCAAGTCACCAACACGTGCAACCCCCTGGTCTGGAATGGGCGGTGGACTTCACTATGTGACCTCGAAGGGTAACACTAAAACCGACAAGCAAATGTTGTCAAGAGTCGGAACAGGAACATATCCCCAAGAAGCCCTTCCTAATCCCCGGGGTTACCGGGAGGCGAATTGGACTGGGTGGAGAGATTGCATTTCCTGCCCCCCCAGGATAAGAAAGCAGGGTCTGAGGGCTGGGAGAGTTGAAGATAGCCCTAAAGCGCCACCCCGTAACAGAAAATACGCGCTGTCACGTTCCTGAGATGGTGACTCAGATGCTCATCTCCCCGGAGACTTTTTCTTGCTCTGTCAGAATGATTCATGTGCATTTCTTAATTTCCACTGCAGTTTTACCATGATCTGAGCACTTTCAGCATAAGCAAATCATATCTCTACTTCACCCACGATGACGAAGGCTATTTCTGGACGGGACATGTGTCATCAGCGTCTTACTCTCATAGTTTCTACCACACCTCCTTGAACACGGAGATGTTCAATGCCAGGAACAGATTTATTTTTATGAACATGGGCCCAGCACTCATTCTTCAGAAGTAAACAAAAGCTTTAAATTTGAGGATCGAGCTTTGCTATATAGTAAACTTTATGAGAATTAAATAATATGAGGATTATTTTCTAATAGTTACAAAATAGGAATGCCAATCTAAAAACTGAGCAGGACAAAACGCAGTCAATCTCCTTTAAAGGGACAGTATTTGGAGGTGGAACTGCAGGACGTTCACCCGAGGTACTATTCTGCTGGTCCTGACCTCTTCTCTGGGTAAGAAAGTTCTCAGGGTTTTATAAATAGTGTTCATTGATTCTCTGTCTGAGAAAATGTAGAAGTGAAATCTGTTGTATGTAGATATTGAGGATTTTATTAAAATCGATGGTAAACCTTTGCAAACAGCCTGGAGATGTTCCATTATTTGCACCATCGTTTGTTGGAAACTGAAAGTTTAGGCAAATTGGCGATATTAGCATCTAGTTTTTTCTTTTCTTTTCTTTCTTTTCTTTTTTTTTTTTTTTGTTTCTGGAAAGTCGTTTTATTGGTAAAAAAAGATATAGGAAAATCATCACCATGGAAGACCAAGGTAATAAAGCCCTAAGTTTGATGTTGTATTGACATAGTCTCTTTCTTCTATGGGGAAGAATATCTGCCCATGAACAGGATGCTGGCTGAGGGATTGTGCCAAATAAAGAAAAGGAATGGATGGTTGGCAATGAAAGTTTCCCCTGACATCTTGCTACAGAAGAAAACCTCCACTGCTGTTGCAGCCGCTGCCTCTGTACACTTTTCATTCACTTCCACAAAGGACTTGTGGACAATTTTTGATACAAAAATACCGCTGGCTCCTGACATGCCAGACAGATCAGCCTCGCTGCTATCAAACAGGTCCTCCACACCCAGGCGGGTGAGGTGGTTGTTGAGGACATAGCTGTCTTTCAGTTTGAACCAGGGTAAGCCAACATTGACTTGAGTGACTGCCAAATGCTTGGTCCACTCCTGCAGTTTTGCCAAAGTCAGTTGCTCCTCAACCTTCTTCAGGCCCGTGGAGTCATCCTCGATGTCGTAGGGCAGCAGAATGAGCATGCTCAGCTCCTCGCCCTGGTAAGGCAGTTCCAGCACACGGGTCTTAAAGTCCTCGATGTAGCCAAATGGAAATGCTTTCTCCTGATACATCATTTTCACTGTTTTTGTGTCTTTCTTATTCAATCTGAATGGTGCATTGGCTGTGTCTTTTTTCCTGAATTGATTCTGCCAGTTTCCCTTGAAATAGATGGCATTCACTAACACAAGTTTAGTCATGCTACCAACCATATCTTTAGCCAACAGTTCCAGAATTTTCCCTTCCGTCTGTCCTTTCACCCACTGGTTTATGGTTTTCCTTGCATCTTCAGAGGCATTCTGAAAGTCTGCACTGGCCAGTTCAGCACCATACATTTTCTGAGTCGAATCCAAGAACTCAGTGAGGAATTAAAGATTTTCTCTCCATATAATCTATTAGCAAGTTTCAGAATGTAGGGTGCTCCACTTTTGTTGATATCAGCATTCAGATTCTGAAATCTTGAATGAATCTCCTCAACCATATTGAAATGCAAAGTCTTGGATAGTTGTGCTGCAGTGTTGCCTCTGGTCCCTAGAAAGACCATGGCCATCGCTGATGAAATGCTGAAGGGAAAGACGAAGATGTTTCCAGTCGGATTGTCTTCATTTAAGGCACGGAACAGGTCTAAGGTGAAGTGGTTGTTTGCTGCACTCAGCTTCTCCATGGTGAAGGCCGCTGCGCACAGGCAGACTCGCTGGGCTGGGTGCCGGATCGAGGTGTCAGCATCTAGTTTTTTCACATTCCCTCACTCCTCTATACTTTTAATTCAGCAAAGAATATAGCTAGTTGCTTCACAATGTCAACTAATTCACATCTTAAATATTCCTTAATATTTTCCAAAATTCAGAAGAAAACTGAACCTCCCTTAAAGGAATAGCTAAATAAATTATTATGGATATTATTAATATATAGTATTTCCCTTATATCCACATTCCAAGACCCCCAGCAGATGCCTAAAACTGAGGATTGTACCAAACCCTATATATCTATGCTTTTTTCTGATATATACCTAAGATAAATTTTAATTTATAAATTAGGCACTGTCAGAGATTAATAGTAATAATTAAATAGAACAATTAAAACAATATCCCAGCATCACTACTTTTGTGCTTTGGGATCATTATTTTGTAAAGCAAGGGTTACTTGAACACACACTGCACTAGGGCAGGTGATCTGATAAGTGAGATGGCCACTAAGTGACTAACAGGCAGATAGAACATACCGTGTGGATACACTGGACAAAGGGATGATTCAGGTCCCAGGTGGTCAGCAGGAGATTTTATCATGCTACTCAGAGTGACACACATTCAAACCTGCAAATTGCTTATTTCGGGAATTTGCCATTTAAGATTTTTGAACCATGGTTGACAAAAGATAACTGAGACTATGGAAAGTGAAACCACGGGTGAGGAAGGAGGATTATATTGTGTAATCATCAAAAAACAGGGTTGTAAATACAATGTGGATGTTTGAAAAAATGCTTATGGTATAGAAAATGAAATAAAAAATGTAAAATTGTATGAGTACTTAGAAGTTCAACAGCTTTCAGAATGATTTTGTCAAAAAAATCTAATCTGATCATATAATTCTTGGAGACAATTCCTTATGAGTCTCTTGCATTTCTGCACATCTTGCTGGCAGAAGCCGTTGTTTGGGACTCCTGATTCAAGAATATCTCCACAGTGCACAAACTTGAAAGATAGACAGTGTCTCTCTCTGGAGCAAAAAGTAGGTTCGTGCCTTGTTCAACATAATAAGATCATGTCTTTCTCCATAGCAAAGGCCAAGTAGGCTTACTGCTCATCATTACAGATACGGGTTCCCAGGCTCAGGGTTTCTTTCCCGTCATACAACCCACTGCGTGCACAGGCCTCGTTTGGCTTTCTTTGTGTTGCCCTGTGGGAATAGGGAACTAGTGAAAGGCTGAAACTCTGGCTATAGCTGTTATTAGGAGTAATAAGTCTCTGATCTCAGACTCTTGATCCTCTGTTAGTGTCCATGACAGTGTGGTAGGCTAACTTGTTAGCTTGCAAGTAAGTTAAAAATCTCAGACCTTTCACAGCTCTTCACATTCACTCTCTTGCTTAAACCTGCTTAACCTTTTTTCAGCGGCATCCCATGAATTTAGGACAAAGTTGCTAGTAATAATAACATCCAAAAACAACAGTAGTAATAATTGCTAATATTTAATGAGTGGCAAACATTGCACTAAGCATGTGACAGGTCATATATCTCACACTGGTTGTTTCACCATTTAATATGTGAGGAAACTGAGGCAGAGGCTCACTGGTTTAGGAGAAACAAGGGTCATCACACACTCAATTTCTCTCACTTTTGATCTGAATCTCATTTATCCCTTGGGACTCTGTTTAAATGGAATTTCCTTAGAAAAGTCTTCCCTTGATCTTCATTTT